CACAATAAACGACTGACTTTATTTTTTTTTCTTTTTCGATTTCCTGCTTATGTGAAGCTAAAAACAAAAGCGCTGCGTGGACATAAACTGTAGTACTGGACTGAATCGGGGTGTAGTTTATGGAATAACTTTACCCTGTTAAAGTAAATCCAGCAGCTTCAGTGATAAATTGAGTCAAGTGGAAATAGTCTTAAATGGACCGTTCACCCAAAAATGAAAAATCTGTCATCATTTACTCTCCCTCATGTCGTTCCAAACCTGTACTAGTTTCTTGCTTCTGCTGAACACAAAAGTCATTTTGAAGAATGGAACCAAACAGTTGATGGTAGCCATTGACTTTTCCATACTATGGAAGTCAATGGGGACCGTCAACTGTTTAGTTACACACATTCTTCAAAATATCTTCTTTTATGTTCAACAGAAACATGCAATGCACTGTATATCTTACATAACAGTCAAGGGTCAAAAGCCAACTCAAAGGTTTTGACATCCATTCAAACTCTAAAGAAGTTATTACTCCATCTCTGTATTTGAGGCTTCTGTGCTGCTTGCCCAAACTGGCCGTCAATGGAGAAAGATGACTTTTTCAGCCAGAGGGTTTGTTTACACTCACATGTAATCATATTCTTTAACATTAAACAAACAGATTAACATGATACCATACAATATATGATATGATACCATGATACCAAGTACCATAAACCATCATAATCATTTCGGGTATACAGAGAATTGCTTAAGTTTAAGCACCATAATAAACAAACAACTCCTCACCTTCCCACCATACTTGGCGTCCTCCTCTATCATTATTCCAGAAAGGGTATAAGAACATTGATAAAATTCCTTTCAGGTCTTTTAGGAGGCAAAATGTCTGCTGCCATGTATGTATGTACGCCCTTTAACACAAGTAAACCAAGTGTGTTGAAGCAATATGGGTAATGTCTACTGGTTTGGTCCTCAGGTGGCCAGTCTGAGACAACAGTTTAGCTGTATGTGTGTGTGTCCATCCACGGTGTCTGCCATGGGAGACGTTTATAGCACCAATGTGCCAGCAACATCTAATTCACTGCCACATCAAGTTAAATAAAGAATTTTTAAATTCATGTATGACTTTGTGTCTTTATTAAACAAATAATGGTATTAAAATGAAGGGGAATTGGAGAACCAGAGAGGAAACCCAACCATCTGCAGATGACAACTGGGATCACACTTCGGCCCCTCTAACAACATTTGAGAAAGAAGTCCCAATATCTACATCTGGGATACTGGATAATAAGTCTGCAACCTTGTTCACTGATCTCAGATAATATTTCACAGTGAATTTGTAGGCCTGAAGGGAGAGAGACTGTAATTTGTGCATTGGAGTCTTTCATGCATTCCAGTCACTGTACTGTAGAGTCACTCAATGGACTGTCTCTAGCACAAAGTATCTCCCTAGAAGGTAGAAATGGAGGGAATCCAGGGCCCATGTATTGGCCAAACACTTCTTCTAGAGCAGGGGGGGTCAAACTCAGTTCCTAGAGGGCCAGAGCCCTTCAGAGTTTAGTCCCAATCCTGCTCCAACACAGACACCATGTAGTTTTCAAATAAGCCTGAAGGACTTGATTAGTTGGATCCGGTGTGTTTAATTTTGGTTGAATCTAAACTCTGCAGGGCTCCGGCCCTCCAGGAATTGAGTTTGACACCCCTGTTCTAGAGTATCATGTCTCTCAGGGAAATCCGGCTCAGGAATGCCAGCGATCTGTAATCTCCTTCTATTTCCTGCAGTAGCACAGCCCTCAATCTGACTTCAGAGGCATCTGTCTGCAGGAAGAACAGTTGCAGTTGCTTTGAGCTAAGCAGCACAAAGTCGATGCAAAATCTGAGTGCGCCATGCTTTCGGGGACTAGCACAATGAGACTACACCACTCACTGATGAATGGTTCAATGACTCATTCGAAGGGTTGGGGTTACCTCCCTATGGATGAATTCATGTAGCACCAGGTTAGTAAATCTAGGTTTCTCCTAATAAGCTCTATGTCCAGCAACTGTTTGCCTGGTCTCCTTGAGGTTGCTCTAGATGGGAAACATCCAGGAGTTGTTGTGATCAACAAGTTTGGAAGTACTGCTCTGCTGGTTTATCCTCCTTACCAATAGCACAAAGAGTGGTGTACTTACTGGCTCGGCCCTGAGGTGGCCTTCTTTCAGCAAGTTAATATGGCAGTCTTGCTCATTCTTACCCCACTCCAGCATGGAGATCTTGCAGGTGATACTGCCAGTCATTCACAATACTTTAGGTTCTATGCCAACAAAACAACTTGCTTTCATTTGTGGTCAGCAACAGTAGAACTTGGCACTAAGGATCCCTCCCTGGCACTCATATCACACCAGGTTTCCTGAAAGTGCTGGGCCCCTGGGCTAGTGATGTAATTTCTTCCAGAAGAAATTACATATTGGATTACATATTGGACCACACTGCATATACCATTCTTAGGCCCCTCCAACAGTTCTTTTAGCAGGTCCAGAGGTCCTCTTACCTGCTGACCATACAACAAAGCAACTTGAGAGAATCCCATGGAGGCCTTTTCACCTTTTGGTGAGCAACCACTAGGTAAAGCAGGAGTGGGCAACTCTGGCCCTCGAGGTCCACTGTCCTGCAGAGTTTAGCTCCAACCCAGATCAAACAGGCAATCCTACATGTAGGTTTCTAGTAACCCTGAATCCTGATCTTGATTATCTTGTTTAGGTGTTTGATTAGAATTGGAGCTAAACTCTGCAAGAAAGTGAGTGCCAGAGCTGCCCATCCCTCAGGTAACATAGCCACTGGTGCCAGTCAAAACTTTGCACAGCATGCTATTCAAGGTTTGGTTTAAACATTCAGCCAAGCCATCAGTCTGGGGATGGTAAGGTGTGGTTGTAATGCAAAATAATAGCGGACATTCAATCCCAGTTTCTTAAAAAAAAATTCTCCCAAGCCAGTAGACAGTGTAGTTTGCCAAAATTGGAAAAAGTAAAACAAAACATCTATAGATGGAGCCCCAGGTTACACCCGCCTTTTAAGTCATCATCTGCCAATGACAATTAGGTGGTGTTTAACAGTCAAAGTTTTCCTGAAGGTTTGTCCTGACAAGCGGTTTCGAACCACCAAAACAAACTCAAAATCACCTTCGTTTTGGCTGGATTTCATTCAAAACCAAGGGGTATATTGGGGCCTGGACAGTGGTGTTGAATTTCTTCCATTTGTACAATCTGCCTGGTAGATTGGTGGATCCTAAACTCTTTTGAAATAGTTTTGAAACCATTTCCAGTCTGATAAACATCAACTTTTCTTCAGAGTTTCTCAAAAAAATCTCTTTTGACTGAGGCATGGCAAACCCTCAATAACCTGTGCGGTGCTACCTGCAAATATATGGATGCTCTGGGTCAGCTCTGAGGATGAAGCCAGTATGTTATTGGAGGACCTGGACCACAGAAGGAACAGTTTGTTCATTACAAAGGCCTATTGGTGACTGGAGAGAGAGAGAGAGACCAATACGATTGGGGTGGAAATTTAACCCAGTAAAATTAATTCAAATGGAAGGACATGTAGGAGTTGCTTTGACCTTGTTATCTTGATTCACAGATATTTGATTGCTCTGGCTAGTCCCCAAACACCACAACATTTGACTTCTAGCAGCGGACAAGAAATACTATTCTTGCGAATGCCAAACTACAATTCCTGAAGATGATGTTTTCTACTGCTAACTCCACCTAGCTCTGTTTTTCCACAACATCCAAGGTTTGTGTAAAGTGTTGGTGCAGTAGTTTTCAGTAAAGAGTGAGTTAATTAGATTGGCCATTAGTATTGCAACAAAGCAGAGCTCAACTTAACCTGTGTTCTGTCAGCTCACTGAGGTGCACATGTCAATATGATAGGAAGGTATCCTTACTGCGCTTTAAAGGAAACATATTGTACATTCAGACTCTTTCTTGTCCCAAGAAATTATGAAAATGTGTTGTCATCTTGTGTAGCCTAAGTAAGTGTGGTACAGTCAAAATGCTGCATGCTTAGAAACTGAATGAAAGGAAAATATGAGTCTGTACAAGTTTCCTGCTGACATTTCAGAGTACTCTGGGGTTTTATCATCAGCTCTCATTATAAATGAAATGTATGGACTTAAATTTTAAAAATGTATACAAAATATAAAAATTACTTTATGACGTCACTACTGACGAATAACCTGATTTAAAAAATTTTTTTTTTTAAAGTCTTGTAAAAATGTTTTTCCTGCATTACCGGGTTATTGATTAACCCGGTATATGCATATCGTTAGTCTTGGAATGCATATCGTTAGTCTTGGAATCCCTGATGTCAGCCCCGCTGCAATTTGGAGCGATTAGCCAAGCCCAGGTCTGGTTCTACAGGGGTGTTAGATGATTTTAAATACCCTCAAATGAAAGCAAAAGCAATTGAAGATATGACAACATTTGGAGTATGTCAAAAGTTACCATTTACAACATGTTTTTGCAGTGTTGAGCAATGTAGCCAATCAAAGACATTTCTGATGATTTCATGAATGCAATGGTCAATCAGAGGCATTTACACTGGTCAGAATTCACTCACTGCTGAAAACGCCAGAGTTTTTGTTTAATGCAGTTCTGCACACTTGCGAATCATCTCATAAGAAAGTGCAGACGTGATGTAAATAAGAGATTCCTTGTGCAGTTTTGAGAGCATCGTCATTCAAATCAGCAGCAAGAGTCAAAGCTAGTCCAGAGTTTAGTAAACTTTCTTGACTGTGCTGTACTGACTGCTTTGATGCGGTGCAATAAAGACATTGTTTTGATACTTATACCCGTAAAGAATTGTTTGAGAAATAAATTTGTGCATTTCTTTTCATTCAGGGAAGTTTACCAGCCCACTGCACAAAGCAATTATCATACATTTATTTCTATATTTATGAGTTTTGAGTAAGATGAATTCTATTAACATTATACATTTTTAATGCATATATTTTCATATGTAAATATGCACCTGAACAAATAATTTGAAATTGTATCAGATATTTAATGAATATGACATGGATCCACACTCACAGTATTCCATCATCTGTTTGATACACATTTTCCATAATCATGTAGATCGGATCAACAAGAGTGATTTTAAACACACACCTATGTGAAATTAACACATTGCCCTATTTCCCTTTTTTGGAATACAATACAAAAGATTTGAAATATTGAAAATGAATGTACAATCCAGAAGGAAGAGCTGCTACAGGGACAGAGCCACCTTATCAATGAATTTGGCCAGTCGAATGTCCTTCTTTGACAGTCCTCCACAGTCATGTGTCGATAAAGTGATCTGGACCTGAAAGACAGCCAGAAATGATCAACAGCTAGCTTTCGATACATCCACACCTTTACAGATCACTAGGGGTGTTCCTCAGGGCTCCGTTTTGGGGCCTCTATTTTTTATTAAACATGTTGATGTTATCATCATGAATGCTAGTTTTAATTTTTATGCTGATGGCACAGTGATGTCCGCTATCTGTGTGTTGGGGGACTGCAATAATGAGTATTGAGAACAGCCCAAGTTTGTCCTGTATTGCAGACACTTTAATAAAGACAGAATTGTTGTCAGCCTACCACACAGCAAGCTGATTTACAAAACCACTACTGCTTATTTCACAAAGAAAATTTCCACTACAGATCATCAGGATTATTTCCTAGCGCTCGCTCCACTTTTCTCACTCGGCCTGACATGAAATGTGAGCTAGTGCACTACGTAGTGCGATTGTTTGCTATGCTAACGCGACACTTTCAAAGGCCTGATGCGTGTGGCCTCTCATGTACTTTAAACACAGTGTATTCATGTTAAACATTTGGAAAAAACATTATAAACTGCTGCTTAAGAGTGAGAAATACGTGGCTGGGTTTGAAGTTATTACCTTGTTATAAACATTGAACCACTCCGGATGATGGTTCATCTTCTCTGCTTGCAGAGCCACTCGACACATGAAGCCGAACGCCTGAGGAAAAGAAAACCACTGGATTCACTCATCTAGCACACAGTTTAAGCACCATAGTTTTACACCAGACAGGTTCTCCTTGATTATTAGCTGATCAACACAAAATAATGCTTGGTGCTGCTCACGTGCTCGTCACAAATGCTTTATTTGGTCATGTTTTTTTTTTAATTAATATTTTGTATTTTTAGTGGTGTATTTTATAATACTAAAATATTCTTATGGATTAGTTATGATTTATTCATTACCTGTTAACCCCTTTTTGAGCATAGACCTGAAAATGAAATTTCCAACTTAAACTGTAAACATAAAACTTGAATGAGCACAGGCTTAAGTTTGGTCTCTTTTAAAGACACTTGGCAGATTTTTGCTGAAGGGAAAAAAAAGTGAAGTGAAGTGAAGTGAAACATGTTTCACTCTAAAAGTGCTTGAAAGTCAAAGGCATAAATCTAAACAAGTTGTGTTCCACATTTGGTAAAAACAAGGAGCTTTCAGAGAGCTTTTGTTTGGACGTAGTACCAAACGTTTCCACTAGATGAAATTCGCTTCCCATTTGTTTCCAATGTGGTCATTTTTACAGAAAACAACACAAGTGACTATTTTTTTCAGGACCATTGACCTTTTCGAATCACGTCCATTATTTAAGTTTGTGTGTTCACATAGCAAGTGCCAAAACCTTTACCATGTTTCGTACCATTCCAATAAAGTTAAAAACATTTTTTTTTTCAAAATTGACTGAACATTTTTTTTAAAGGAATATATTTTTAATAAAGTAACATACATGCTTAAATGCAATAACACACTGTAATAGGACAATCTGTTCATATTTAACCGAGGCATGGACTGCAGTTTTGGCAAAGTGAATAGAGATGTTCTGTAGAGTCCATCTAAATAGTGAGAGTATGCCAGCTCATGTTTAGCTGAGATCGGAGGATGACCGAGTTTCTGCGTCCTCCAATCAGAGGGCAGATCTCGCTCGAGCTAAACCGCCTGTGAGAATAAAACGCACTGGCTGTTTCAGAGCAATTTCCCAATGCAATCTCAATTAAGCCTTTAAATACTTCCTTAGCTAATTAAGTCAACTGAACCGCCATTGTACACAAGCCTTCGCAGACAAATCTGTGGGCTTGGCCAAACTCTCTCATAATGAAACAGGAGTAGTTTAAAAAAAAAAAAAAAAAGAGGAGGAAATTACGAGTGTCGTATATTGTAAGTAATTTGGGGAACACATGATGTAACACAATTGGCTATTTTATCAAAC